TTCAAATATTAGTGGAGACAAAAATAATAATAAAAAGTATTTCTTCACATCGTATTATGTTTTGGTGAAAATAGTTATTCAGTACCTATATTCATCGAAGGTAACAACTAACAAGAATTTGATGGTATAGTCGAAGTGTGTGTAAGCTGACCAGATATCATGAAATTTCAAGTGAATTTATTTCCACTTTTCTTATGTCTTGATAAACAAAGTTACTTGTACTCTTTAAAGGTGACAAGAACCAAGTGAAACAATTGAGGTGCGAACAAACTGATCTGATACTATCTTTATAAAAAAAAAAGTAAATGGTTAAAACACACTTGAACTATCACTTTTTTGCGAGTTTCATAACTCAATTATTCATTGTTGTCTTTACCTGCCTAAAGTATCATTCCATTTGTATTAAAACACAAATCATTGCTTGAGTTGACCAACATAGTATCGAGATATGTTTTGTAATAATTGTAATATGAAACTCGTGAAAAGATAATTTAAGTGTCTTAAAAAACCCAATTGTCATGCATAGTTCAACTCCTCGACCCAAACCACCAACTAAAAACAAGAATAAAAACTTTGACAAACATCATGTCTCTACATGTCTTGTTTAATACTAATCTACATAATAATCATATTCTTTGTTCTGTCCGCTTTCACGTCTTCCTTTGGGAATCTTTTAGCAGTTTTGTCTACAACGTCAAAGCTGTCTATAACTATTTTTTCAACTTTTTAATGTGTTTGACATTGTTTGAATTATACCCCCAATGTTCAATTTTACTTCACCTACTACATACAACTGGTAAATTCTCAATCTATTAGAGTATTACTTACTTATCTATTATTCTTCTACGTCAAGGTTGCCACGACCAGAAATGCGTAGGACGATCCTATTTTTCGCGTTGTTTCTGGTGGTGGAATCAGCCGAATTTTTCCCAAATGAAAGAGATGCTTTGTTGCAGCTGAGAGATAGTGTAAATTCAAGTGTTCTTGATTTACATTCACATTGGACAGGGCCTCCTTGTTACAACAACCAGAGTAAATGGGCTGGAATTTCGTGTTCTAATGGGCATGTAAATCAACTTGTTTTAGAAGGAATTCAGTTAACTGGCTCACTTCCACCAACATTCTTGTTGCACATAGCATATTTGACAAAAATCAGCTTTAGGAACAATTTATTGTATGGTCCTGTTCCAAATCTCACAGGACTAATCTACCTGGAGTTTGTTTTTCTGTCAGAAAATCGATTTTCGGGTTTGATTCCGTTTGGGTACACTGAGTTAAAGAAACTAACAGAATTGGAGCTCCAGGGGAATGATCTTGAAGGTTCAATTCCACCATTTGATCAACAGACTTTGATTGATTTCAATGTGTCGTCGAATAAACTGGAAGGACCTATACCTGAAACTCCTGTCCTGAAGAGATTTTCGAAGAGTTGTTATGAGAATAACGCGAATTTGTGTGGTGAAGTTGTAGGAATACCTTGTTCAATATCACCTGCAAGTCCACCTAAAGCACCAAGTGAAAAGAAAAAGAATGGCCTTAAAGTATGGAGTATTGCTTTGATTGCAGCAGCAGTAGCAGTACTTGTTCTTATTTCAATCATGTTCATTTTGTTCCGTTACTTTAGAAGATCTAAAAGAATGGAAACACAAGGAGAAGACAAACAAGGTAACAGTTTTATTGTATCATCTATGTTATCCTAGCTAGTGCCAGTTATTCTGAGGGGAAAGTTATTACTACTTAGATTGAATTAGATGATGAGGTTATCTGGTGTAGGGCTGTTTTGGTGATACGGAACGAGACAGGGGAGAGGAAGTTGACTGTATTAGAGGGCTGACTGTATTTTTTTCGAAATAGTTTAACCATTTTTGTTAATCGCTAAAAGAAGGTCATTCAGAACTCGTTGGCTCCAGAATGGGGCAGCTCCAGAGGTGCTAAAGATGGTTAATTCGTGATAGGAAGAAAACCAATACATGTCCATTATGAAGTCGAATTCAATCATTTCTAGCTCAATAAGATGAGAACTAGTATCTCGCCCCTGAATTGCGGCTATACAACAACAATAACATACTAGTATAGTCCCACAAGTGAGGTCTGGGGAGAGTGAAGTGTACGTAGACCTTACCCCTACGTTTGTGGGATAGAGAGACCGTTTCTGATAGATATTGTGGCTATACAACATAGAACTAGATTAGCTAATTCAATTAAACTTAAAAGATCCATGTGATTATGGAGCAGTTAATATTGTTGTTATTACATCTTTTAACATTTCCAATTTCCATTTTGACAGGTAATATTTCAATAGAGAATGTGGTAAAGAGAAGTTATTGGTCCAAGAGTACAGAAGATCCAGAAAAAACATTGGACTTAATATTCTTTGAAAAGGATATGTCAGTCTTTGACATGGATGACTTGTTAAGAGCATCAGCTGAAGTTTTAGGAAAAGGAAAGCTAAGCACAACATATAAAGCAATCCTGGAATCTGGTTCTGTTGTTGCTGTTAAGAGACTCAAAGAAATGAATTCTTTGAGCAAAAAGGAATTCACACAACTGGTGCAGTTGCTTGGGAAATTGAAACATGAAAACCTTGTGGAGATGTTGTCCTTCTACTATTCCAAGGAGGAGAAGCTCATTGTTTATGAATATGTTCCACAAGGAGACTTGTTTGGGCTCTTACATGGTTGGTTCATCAACTTTCTTTTACTTTTGGGAAAATGTCTAAAGTTAACCCCTCCTGAACGAAATACCTTAATTTTATCTTTCATTATACTTTGAGATTATTCATATCCTTATCCTTAGTAAAACGTCTCGTGTTATACTTCGAGGTCATTCATATTCATTTCTGATTCTAAACTATGAACTCATGATCAAATGACTTTTGAGGTGGGCTTTCCCTTCTCTATAGTGCTACTGTGAAAATTGAAATTGCTTAGAGGTAGGTGTAAGGTCTGCGGACACTCAACCCCTTGTGGAATTATACTGAACATGTTGTTATCGTCTTATAGTAGTAATAGAGGAATATCTTTTACCATTTTCCCATCTTTTTTCCCCTTAAGATTCAACCTTGTAAAAACTTATGATTCTTGATTTCAGAAAACAGAGGAATTGGGAGACAACCACTAAACTGGACAGCAAGAATATCCCTCATAAAGGATGTAGCAAAGGGTCTAAATTTCTTGCACCAGTCCTTACAATCACATAAGGTGCCACATGGGAACATCAGATCAAAAAATGTTCTAATCCAGCAAGACCAAAGCAAGAACTACCATTCTAAGCTGACAGATTATGGATTCTTTCCTTTGCTACCATCTAAAGAATCCTTAAGAAAAATAGCAGTAGGAAAATCTCCAGAGTTCTCTCAAGGGAAAAAGTTAACAAGAAAAGCTGATATCTACTGCTTTGGTATTCTTCTGTTGGAAGTGATCACTGGAAAAGTACCAGGTGAATTGTTTTCACCAGAAAATGGAGTTACTAGTTATGTTGATGATGATTTGTCAGAGTGGGTAAGGACAGTGGTGAATAATGATTGGTCAACAGACATTTTGGATATGGAAATACTTGCACAAAAAGAAGGATATGATGAAATGTTGAAGCTTACTGAATTGGCTTTGCAGTGTACAGATGAGGCACCAGAAAAGAGGCCTAAAATGAGTGAAGTGTTGAGAAGAATTGAAGAGATTGAGCTTGAACCAAAGAATTTAGTCACTGATGTGGAAGATGATTCAGTCTCTTAGTTGAAGACTTGGAACTTTCCCTCCCAAACTGTAATCAAGCCGTAGCCGCAACAACAACATATCCAGTATAATTTCATCAGGTGGAGCTTGAACAATATATTCAGTATAATCTCATCAAATGAAATCGGAGTCTGAAGAGAATTTCAAGTAGAGTCTGAACAATATATTCAATATAATCTCATCAAGTGGAGTCTGAAAAAAATAGAGTGAATGCATACATTATCGTAACCCAATCCTATGGGAGTAAAGAAAGGGTAAAATATGCACGTACTTTACTCTGATTCCAACCAATGGGATCTTTGAGAGAATAGAGTATGCGCATACCTTACCCAACAAGGATAGAGAGACTGTTTCCTAAATTGTAATCAAGAAAATAGATTAGAAATTTAGGAACAGGCTTTTAGCAGAGTAAACTTAGTTTTATGATATTACTCATTCTTCAAGTTAATTTTTTGTAGATATTAATTTTGTTTATTCCATTATTCATCTTTTACTTGATGAAAACACCCTTTTGAAGGAATAGCATATAGTACAGTTCTTTTTTTTCATCTTTTTGAGTCATTAATTTGATTAAATTCCATACATAAAATTGGGAGGTGTGATTGTCCCAAGTTCGATTAAAGGTGTAGTTAGGTCACAACAACGTATAATTAAACTCATAATGATCCCTCGATGTGAGTATTCCTAAGTATTGGATTCAATAAACTTAAATGAATCGATATAATCAGTAAATATTCATATAGCCAACTTTAACTTGATCACTACATCCTGAAAATAATACTATACTAATATAATCTTCTGATCACAAAAAAAGAAAGTGTAATCAACTTAAAGAGTAAACTCAAGATCATTTATAAAATTAAAAAAACTTGGAATGTGTTCCCCATTAATACATTGTACTAGTAGCCAAGAAACTCCTGAAGTGGGACCAATTGATTTTGGCTGCAAGCAAAATGGATGACGATTAGAATAAAGCCCAAACTCCTTTTCTTGAATTTGTTGCAATTTGTGGATGAAGATGAGATTTTGAGGAAATAAAATAGAAAAAACTCGAACATGGTCTTCATTTAATCCTAGTATGGATGGACTTTGAACTAAGTGTTAGGTGTAAGAAGAAAACGGTGTTTAATTGGATTTGAAATAGACACCTATGTAGTACGTGTCAATTTTCATGCAAACTTTCACCCAAGTGTCCACTTAATTCCGAACTTCATTTTTCTATAACACTATCTCCTTCTTGTCTTTATCTTCTTCATTTCTTGTGTCACTTCATAAGTTTTATCAGATTAAGATAAGAATCTTGATTTACATATTTGATCTGTAGTACTAAAGGTTTTCAACATTGACAGCAGATTTATTGTAGTTATGGCTATGCCAGCTAGGAGATATGCTTTTGGTAGGGCGGATGAAGCTACTCATCCTGATTCCATGAGAGCCACCTTGTCTGAACTCTTATCCACCTTCATCTTCGTTTTCGCCGGTGAAGGCTCTGTTCTTGCTATTGGTAAGATATAAAAGTGAAGTTTGTTCTGTTCTAACTAAAGTTGTCAACATGCATGTATGCAACAACTTTTCTTTCTCTTTTGTATCATTAAAGGTTGGTTTTTCAAGATTTTTACTTACTTTTGATTGATGTTGTTTCACTATGGATGTTTGTTGTGCAGACAAGTTATATCCGGATACGGGGTTAGGTTCATCAAGACTGATAGTGATAGCGCTGGCGCATGCGTTTTCCTTCTTTGCAGCTGTGGCTTCTAGCCTGAATGTTTCTGGAGGACATATCAACCCAGCTGTTACCTTTGGTTCACTTGTGGGAGGCAGGATTTCTGTTGTTCGTGCTATCTATTATTGGGTTGCTCAGCTTTTTGGTTCTGTTTTAGCTTCTCTTTTGTTGAGGCTTGCTACAGATGGCTTGGTAATAACGAAAACAATCTTGTTTTTGTGTTTGTTGTTTTGAGATTGAGGTGTAATTGTGTTGTGTTGGTGCAGCGGCCACGGGGATTCTCGGTTGCAGCAGGGGTGGGCAACTTGAATGCACTTGTGATGGAGATAGTGATGACATTTGGACTAATGTATACAGTATATGCAACTGCTGTTGATCCAAGGAGGGGAAGCTTGAGCACCATTGCCCCTCTTGCCATTGCATTCATTCTGGGGGCAAACACCCTGGTGGGAGGGCCTTTTGAGGGGGCATCCATGAACCCAGCAAGGGCATTTGGACCTGCTTTAGTGGGTTGGAGGTGGAGGAACCATTGGATCTACTGGTTGGGCCCTTTCGTTGGTGCAGCCCTGGCTGGACTTATATACGAGTATGGGATCATTCAGCATGAAACCGTTCCACGCCCGACTACCCACCAGCCCTTGGCACCAGAAGATTACTAGTCTCCTTCATTTGTGAATAAAAAAGGATTGTGCTTAAAAACTAATGTGATGTTTGTAGTCCAGTTTATGGTTGCTTTTTAATTCCATTTTCTGCGTTTAATACTTCTGTATGTAGCTGCACATTTCCAAGACGATGATCCCAGACCAGTAATAGCATGAATAAAGTCTACTTTTATCTGTCTTATTTTTTATTTATTGGAGTCTGTTTACGTTACCATTCTATGTTTGTGTTTACTTGCATATATAGAGGAAAGAAACTCATAGCAGGATACATTTTTCAGCCATTTCCTACAAAAGTTGTACCTATGTTAAATTAGGTCTTGGGCCTAACTCACACCCCAAAAGCTAGCTCAAAGGGGAGCTCCCTTAAGGCAGATACCCAACCACTCTTAGATAGCTTTAAAGAAGAGGTTGTAGGTTAGCTCCTTAACTTCAAATGGTATTTATCCAACGTCGTGAAAGTGTCACCTTTCAAGAGTTAGAAGGAAGCGGAATAAGCGCTCTTATATAAGTTCATTTCTGATTCACTTCTTCCCATTCGTTCCGAGTCGCCAAGGGGCAGAAGCCTTTCTTCTGATTTCTTTGCAAGCATTACGAAGGGAGGATTGCCCAAGCCAAGGGAGGATTGCCCAAGCTTTATAAGGAGTTCACCCATCTATTGCCCAAGCCTTATAAGGAGTTCACCCATCTATGATACCATGTTAAATTAGGTCTTGGGCCTAACTCACATCCCAAAAGCTAGCTCAAAGGGAGAAGGATTGCCCAAGCCTTATAAGGAGTCCACCCATCTCATTAACCACCGATGTGGTAACACTGTACGAGTGACAATGGGAGAACTGAATGAATGTCGTGACTAATTAAATCAAATTACAAAATAGTAATAGTACAAAAGAATGGGGTAGGCGTTGGAATAAAATTTTTGTTCTTAAGAGATTGCTAAAGTTTACGATAGAATCTGGCAACCCATGGGGCAAGTTCAGTTACATCAGGGGTTCTAGGATTAGAGGCATAATAATCAGACCAGTAACAGGGAGACATATTCTCTGTGAGTTCACCTTTAGAGTAAATGCAAAATGGCAGCCAATCTTCTCCTCCGTTCATTCTTCTTTTCCTCTCTCTTGGATATGCTAATGGCGCCTGCACATACCTGCATCAGATAAATAAACCTTTAACGTTTTGAATTGGGTGTCATAGGCCCTAACGTAACAAGTTAACTCCTAAAGTTGTGACTTCCCTCCCTCTCTCTCTTCACCTGTCCATTACTGAAGTTACTTGATCTTTGACAAAACCCGATATAAGTTATTCATAAATTTTATAACCAATATACTGTTAGTAAATTCAACCTTGAAATGCCAAGCAATAGGAGTTTCAGCTTTCTCTCATCAAAACTATTTCAAGGCTGAAAACACATCTTAGCTTATTTGATATATCAATTACATTTATGTCTTCTCGTCATCATATTCTAAGATCAAAACCCAAAGGAAAAAACAACAAGAACCATACACACTAAATTTTGCTTCAATTGAAAATTGGTTACAAGTAGTAGGCGTTTATGTGAATGAACAGTCTAATGCATCCAAGAACAGAACACACCTGATACCATCAAGCAGGACATCCCAGCAGAAATGGGTGTGACCAAAAATATGACAAGCATTTGTGTTCCCTCTAGCTCCGTGTATGTATCTTATACGGGCCTCAAGAAAGTCAGAACCAATCATTTTTGGAAGGTTAGGATAGAAAAGCATTCTCTTCTCTGGACAAAGCTCTAGTCTGCAAAAAAAGATGACAAATAACAGTTCCAGACAGGGTAAAACAACGTCATCATCAGCATAAGATGTTTAAGGACTCCAATCATCAACATAATCATTCTGAACCTTGGTTATTTAGTAAGCCTGTAGTGCCACTGAGGTGGAATGCCCACTACCGTGATGAATCATAAGTTTTTAAGTATGCATTGTGCCCTACCCCTAACATACCCCCCACCGCCCCCGCCCCAAGGCAGCCCAAAGAAAAGGTAAAATAAGTTCCTCTATCTTGATGCATGTATTGATGAAAGTAGCAATAGAGACGCTTAGTTTTTCAACACAGAGCAATCTCTGACTTGGGAAATGTGTCCCCTTCTCTCTTTGCTACACTATGCTCTTTCCAGCGAGTCCCCTCTATGGTGCTACTTTATTTTATTATGGGTGACAATATTTCATATCAGGGGGGAAATCTTTCGAATAAATTAATATAAAGAGGATTGCTATAGATGGTTTGTGTTCATTGAGCGGGGCAGAAGATTCTCCAGCCAATTAAAGATGGACGAAAAATTTGTTGGTATGTAATGTTTTACAGAACGTTTCAAGGGGATATGGCAAACTCTATGGGGGATGGGAAGGAAATTATAGTCATATTTCTACAGAGTCTAGAAGAACTACATCACTTATGGCAGGTACATCAGAGTGGAAACATGGTTCTGTGACAGGGAAAAAGCCAACCACTGAGATATCAAACATTTTATGTTTATCTCTGAAATGTCAAATTAGGTAATCTATAATGGAGAAAAGGGGCAAATTTTCAGGACTATCTAACAAACATCAACCTCATTAAATCCTACTAGAAGTCTCTATTGTAGCGCGAGACTGAGATTTTTCAACCATAACCAATCAAATTTAGATAGCAACTCAGAAAATTTTGGAATTGTCTGAGCTACTCACTAACCTTGGAATAAAGTGTGAGAATGAAATTATCTGGTTGCAGCTTGCCAGCATTTCCTGGACTATATCCTTATTTTTGTCATTCATGGCATCAAAATGTGTAGCAAGGGAGTTATCTCCATTTGTGAGTCCGTCGGGCCACTTGCATGCACGGAAGTCCTTACATGCCTGTGCCAGAAAAGATAAGAGTGAATTACAACAGTAATATTGCACTGTACTAGCAGTCTACCATAGAACACAGAGTCAGTAAACTACGAGTATAATATAAACCAACGTCTATTAACTGTGTAATAGATAGGAAACCTTCTTGAGAGAAAAAAAAAATTGTCCCAGAATTCCAACTCACAAATAACACAGAGAAATGCTACAATACAAGTAGTAAAATGAACAGGCTCAGAACAGAGGAAGTGCATCCAAAGCAGCCAAAAATAGAAGAGTCACTAAGATAGTTAAATAAATAAAATGCAAAAGAAGATGAGCAAGTAGCTTGCAAATGTCAACTATTATCCCCATATACTCACCTACACACAACAGAAAGTTGAAGTCACCCCAAGGTAATAAGCACATTTTCCTTGGACTAATCAGGAATTTTTTACTGATAAAAACAAAGTGCAAACGGATGCACATCACTTCAGAGCACTGAGTGTGATGGAAGAGCTAACAAAGCACTTCTCATTTCAGTTTCAGTTGTCAGTAAGCTAAAGATTGGCACATTCAATTTGCTCATCTTTTATCTATCTCTTTTGAAAGAAAACAAGGTCGAGGAGGGAACAACTAACATATTGTCAAACAAAAAGATTTTAAAATCCTTACAAATGAGAAAGAAAGTGAATCACCAGCTCCAAAGAAGGAATGCGGATGCCAGGTATGTCCTTTTCCCTATCAAAGCTCTGGGATAAAGCAGAAATGACATCAAGATGTGCACAGAATGACCCAGCTGCAAAAATAGTTTTGCTATTTCACAGTAAGATTTACCTCATGATACCATGAGAATAGAGGAATAATTGCCAAACCATCAATGACACTAGGATTAGTTTCCACTCCAAGTCTCTGACATGCATCAAGCATTTTATCCAGCTTTTGAAGAGAATCAATCTGAATACAGAGATGCATCACATTAATCATGTGATATTGCTTTTAGTTTAACAAAAGCAATAATCTACTTCAGTGCATATTGAAGAGGGAAAAGGGAAGAGGAGGAGAGGAAACACCACCAATATTCATTCGTAACTTTTACTTTTTTCTGCATGGACAAAGCTTTTGAGACCTAACTTTAATAAGACTGTCTAAAAGGCAATGTTGTTGATTGAGAAACACATATGCATAAAAAAATGCAGCTATAAATGCTTCAAAAGGAGAATTTCCCCTCAGCTTAAAGGCCCCATAAGCGACAGGATCCCATAATGTCACAAAAGCATTTTAACGAGACACCGCCATGACATAGGAATGTAAAATAGCAACAACAACTAGTGACATATGATGCAATTCTACGCATTACTTTTGAACTAAATTCTGCAAATAATATCGTCATGGAACAATATGAAGAAAATACTGCTTACATAATTCTCTTTCTCCCTACGGAGCCAAAGGTCGTGGTTTCCGGGCACAAAGAACACATGCTCAAAACTAGCCTTCAAGAGGGACATAGTTAACACAAACTTCTCATAAGTCTCCGCAACATCACCTGCAACGAGAAGAACTTCCTTTTTCTTCCCCTTTTTTGGTAAACCCTTTAACCATGCCATGTTCTCCGCGTACTCTGTATGCAAGTCTGAAACTACAAAAACCTCCAAACCAACTGTATCTACCCTAGCAGAAGGGATAATCTTTTGCCTTGTAATATCAACATGCTTCGTGAGATATCTCCCACAATTCTGGATTCTCATACATTTGTGAAGATATCTTGAACGTCCAGGCTGCAGATTGAAAGTTGAGCTGGCCGTAATTAAGCATAGAACCATGATGCTGTTTTCCTCTACTCTGGAATCAGCTAATCCTACATCAACACATCAAAATATTTATTCTGGAACATGAATAATAGATTATTGGTCAATGAAGTAGGTTAAGAATCATGAGGTCTCAAGTTCAAATACTAGCGGAGGCAAAAATACTAGGTGATTTTTTCCCATCTATCCTAGTCTTGATAGACCGAGGGTATCACGTATGGTGTGAAATTAGTCGAGGTGCGTGCAAGCTAACTCAAACACCATGATTATTAGAAAGAAAAAAAACACATATAAAGTTGTTCACCATTATATATGATGCACATAACATTTTTAGTTTGTGTAAGTTCAACTAGTGAGTATTGCTTTCCCTAGAAAAAAACCCTTCATATCAAAATGCAAATATAAATTCACCCATCACATTATGAACGGGTAAAATAACAATAATGGAGGACAACAATGCCAGCAACATGGAGCGAATAATTTTATCCACTAAGGCTTAGCTATTTTTGTCCAGGGCAGAATTTGAACTTG